TAAAACAGTATCTTTAAAATCGCTCTACAATGACTTTTAATAATGACGTGAGTTTCAATAGCTGTTTGTTATATGGCGATACAAATATTTATTGGCTATAATTATTTGTTACAAATTAGAGAATCAAATGGAAATGTTGTTATTAAGTAATAAATACACAGAAAAAAATATTAAAAATAAAATAATATATAATATTTAATATATATATCAATATGAACTATGATCTACTGAACTATGAAATTAATAAAACAATCATTATTATTATAAAATAGTTTACTAGTTATAATTTATACTTCACATATAATTTCAAATATAATGTATATAATATAAAATACTCTAAAATATTTAAGCAACTAGTGATATATACGATTCATATAACCTATAAATATAATATATAATTATCTACATTAGTATATTTACTATATTTAAATGACTTGTATATAAATCATTGATTGATAGCAATCAAATAAAATGTGAGTGATTATAGATATACATGTGATATTATATCCATAATTCTATAATACTATAATTCTATATAAATGTATATAGAATATTCTATAGAGTATAATAGAATACAATTGTATATAATACTATATAGAATTATGAAATTATGGATATAATATTAGATATTATATAGAATTATGGAATTATGGTTATAATATTAGATACTGTATAGAAGTATTTAATTATGGATATAATATTAGAACTCCAAATATTAATTGTAGTTGTTGTTGTTGTTGTTGTTATGATTTGAGTTAGTGCTACTGCACACTTTTACTCTTTTGTTGGGGGTAAAAGTGTGCAATAGCTGGGGGGCTTATCCCTGTCTCACACTAAACTCTAACTATACTAGTATGCTAGTGCTCAGGGTATACTATATATATATACTATACTCATAATTAAACATACATCCATAATCACGAAAATTTTATTTGATTGCTGTCAATCAATGATTTAAACACAAGCCAATTAAAAAATATAAAAATATATATAATAGTTAAATATTATAATTCTTTATAGAATTATGGAATTATAGATAAAATACAAGAAATTCAAATAATAATCGATGTAGGAATGAATACTTGCTGTTATATATCTGTTTGTGTATATAAAAAAAATTTTAAAAGAACAAGGAGCAAATTAGCATAAATAGATCCAATTAAATCAATTATTTTCGCATATTTAAATTATTCAATACAATTGTTTGAATTCATGAATACTCTAATTGTGTCGATAATAAAAGTGTCGATATCATTTAATAACATTTACCTCTCAGATCTATGTTTTGAAATTATGTATGAAGAGACATACTCCTCTCTAAGAGAAATTCCAATCAATATTTCACAAGCAGACCTATTGCGAATACTTAATATTTTCAAATTTGGTCTGCGAAAAAAAATTCGTGTTTCTGAAAAAGTGGAAGTGTAAGCAAATATCTTGACAAAATCCATCATCCAAATCCATCCATCAAAGATGTGGTTAAGGCTCCTTTGTAACATAAGCTAGAAGCGTACAGAAGTATAGACACGTATAGAGATTTTAAAATTTCATCTGTCGAAAAAAAATAAAAAGACTTCCAAATCATGTAAAGAACAGCCCACACCAAAGACGAAACATTTGAGAGACCCAGACACTTGCTTATGTAGTAGAAAAAGCTGTTTGATATTATAAACGTGAATCATATTTCATAGCCATATTTCATGTGAAGTATTATAATATAATAAAATTGCCATATATGTAATCTATTTTAAGAGACTAGCTGGAATAGTAACTAAATAAACCTAATTATTTAACATCATATATAATGATATCCACACCCAGTTACTCTATCTAAGTACGTTTTTTTGTATACGATCAGCAGATCAAAAGTAAATAATGCATCATAATGTTGTCATCTAAATGATGATACATGCGACCCTAACACACATCACTTCAGGGTGAAATCAATTTATCGCACTTACGTTATCGATGAAATACTTGCTTTAAGTAATGTTATTATCGTTGCAACTATCTATTGACTGTAGCTTTCCAGTCTATTATTATTTGTCGTTTACAGTTCTTCTTTAAAGATTTCTAAAAATAACTGATTTGGTAAATCGATCTTTGTATTTTGTGTTAGTTCATTTGTACATATATTGAGCTCTTCCACACTTTGTCTGAGCACCCTCTACCTTCAAATGGTGCAGTAATACATTATTAATACATTATTAATTCCTTAGCTATGCGCACACCAATTAATATATTCAAATCTATGATTAAATCTTCTCAAAAAATTAAATCAAATAATTAGACGGTTGAATGAGATCATTTGCACCAAGACTAAACAAAACTACATTAAGAGCTTCAATCAACTATATGATCGTGTCTGTAACCGAGCATAGTTTAAAAAATAATGTAGTGTAAAAATTAAGTACATTAACAGACGAAACTAACTAAAAACCAAAATAAATAATGTGATTTCGGTTGTAATCCAATATCGCCTAATGGACACACATATACAGATTATAGTTGCTCTAATCGACGAGTTTATGGCCTCTGTGAAGAACAAAAAGGGAAGAACCATGAAGCTCTCAGCAGATATCTAGCATTAGCAGTACTTAACAAATCTGGAAACATTTCTAACTACAAAAAAATTAATAAAATTTAATATAAAATCTAAAATGTGATCTATAAAATTACCTTATAGACATACATATATGTCATACGAGATAAAGAAAATGCGGACTTGATCATGTCGTAAGAATAGATTACGATGCTCCACGGGAACACCGTGTCTTAAGTGGAATGATCAACCCGAAAAGAACTAATCACGCTTAATGGATGAGACTGGAAATGGCGTACATCCAGCAAAAAATGTATATGTCTAACCGAAAATCGGTAACGAAAAAAAAATTAATTAAAGAGTAGTAAAATTTATTTTTAATTTTGTTAACTAAAATAATAATCACACCGTGTTTCTTAAGCACACCGAATTTTTTTCTTATATCTTTTCATATACTAAACATATTGAAATTAAAATAATCAAAATTTTTAATTACTTTTACTTAATTAACTATTTAATAAAATTAATGGAGGGTTTCTTACAATACATCATAAGTATTGTTTTATAGTTTTATTGAGTATACATATGAGTATTTTCTTTTGGAAAATTAATATAGTGAAAGCTGTACTAAGTGAACACCAGGAGTGAACTGTCAATGCAAATCATTAAATCAAGTTCTTTATGGATTTGTCTTCAGACATGGAATTGAAACTATGAATGCAGGAAATATAAGGTTTCAACAGGTTCACCACAGGTTCCACAAGTAACACAAAACTTCCTGTTCAGTCTTTGTGACACTAAAAGTTTTCATTGCGTGTAATTTAAGTCTAATGGATTTGAACTCGACACAAAGATAACGTTTTTATGTGGATTTTGTAGACTGTTCTCGAATATTCGATGTAATGAAAAATTACTACCGTAAAGTTAAGCCGAGCAGTTGTCTGCTATCAGACACATAACGAGGTGGTCTTCAAAATTAAAAGAAAAAAAAGTCTTATTATTAAGACTGGATGTATGTACACAATTCTCGAACTTTTGATGTGGTGAAAAAGAACAATCATAAAGTTAAGTCAAGCTGTTGTGAGCTATCAGTCAGGGGTCTTTCAAATTAAAAGAAGAACTGTGTTATTATTAGGGCTGGATTTATGTGGACAATTCTTAAACTTTCGATGTGATGCAAAATGTCTACCGTAAAGTTTAGCCGAGCTCGTGTCGAACGTCAGGCACATAACCAAACAAAAAGAAAAACTGCATAATCCATTAATGTCTGGATTTATGTGGCTAATTCTCCAACTTTCGATGTGGTGAAAAACATCAACCGTCAAATCAAACCGAGAGTTAAAGGCCATCAAACACATAACCAGAGGAATGGTCTTCCAAATTAATGGAAGGAGTGCATTTTTATTAATGAATTATGACTGTTTAATAAGTTCAAGATTATATTTTAAGTTCCAGAAGTTATCTTAAAGCCCTTCCCCAAATAATAATCTGACTACGGACCTGCCAGTCATGTGCCAAGAAGTCATTGAAAATTGCAATACTTGATACTAAATTCTGTAAGATATTCCATGGAGGATTTTTTATTGACATTATATATCACACATAATGACAAGGTTCCGAACATTATATTTAATTATAATTTCAATCGAAATCTTAAAATTAAGTCATGTGAATAATTTTTGGGAACACAAAATGTAAACCCAAATATGGTATACTATACTATACGGCCTATAGCCGTTCTTTTATAAACAGCACAGCTTTTAACATCCCCTACGATTTGTCTGAAATTTTTTTAATATCTAGAAATAATCTCGGGTCTTTCTATTTTATTAAAGAAGCTTATAAAAAAATTCAAACTACCATATATTGAAGATGATGGTTAGTTCAGTTGGTTTGTTAAAGAATAGTCCGTATGTATAAAATAATTATTATATTGAATTATTTATTATCTGCAGAAAAGTAGAAATTTTATATTTTTTTTAATTAATTTTTTTAATAAACTTTTAGTGGAAATTTTAAATCCCAAAAAAAAAATGCAGTAAAATAAAATTTAATAAAACTCAGGTGCAGAATTCACTGATAATTAATTATTTTTCATACTAAAATTTTTTTTTATATTAATTTTTGACAACCAAATTTTGCATAGCCAAAAAGATACGAAAAAGTGAAATTCTTTTCTTCTTGAAAAGTTGAAAGTTTCAAGGAAAATTATTTCAAAATGAAAATTAATCAATATTTATTTAATTTGAAGGCATTGACAATGAAAGTAAAATTTATTTAAATTTTATTCTCACAAAACTGTTTAAGTAAATTAAATAAAGTTAAATTAAAGTTTTTATTCAACTTTTGTCTGACTTACTATAACAATATTTTATATGAAAAATTATTATTTAATTTTAATTTATTTAATTAATTTTCATTATTTAATCTTTATGCTTCTTCCTTTTATTCACAGATTATCATCACAGCAATGGACCGTTTTGTTTGGTTTGTACTTTTAGTAGTCATGTCTCATTTGGTAACTGAGTTCACACGTGTCACAGGATATGGACGAGGATCTCGGAATGACATTATTATGGTAAATGATGTAAGTATCCTTTAGTTAAGCTTACTCGGATTATCAGTAACTTTTATTTTAATAAACTTTTGTCGAGATTGCGGTATATGTTGCATTTTACATAATTAATTCCATATTATTGCAACTTAATTCAGTTCAGTGAAGCCGAATCATTAATAATATTATTAATAAGTAAAATTTTAATTTTTAAATAAAATAAAGTTTTTAATTTTTCATTTGAAATGAACTTTTCATAATGTTTTAAAATGAAATAAGTCAATTTAATACTGTTTATTTATTGTAAATGAGAAAAACAATATCTCGAATATTTTTTTTTGGTAAAAATTATTTCCTATTAGCTGTTATAGGATGTGAAATCAAAACCAAACCATTTATTTTAATCATATTAATTAATATTAATAATTGTTTTACTTAAGGTTTATTTTTGCAATAAAAAAGCATTTTCTTGGAAAATGCTTCAAATAAGAACTTACTTATTTAATAATATTCCAACGACATGGTCTAATTTAAATTATTTTATATTTTTATACAGAGATAAATACAGCTCCTAATAAAAAAAATAATTAACTATAACTATCAATTTAAATTCATATTTTTCGGATAATGATTCGCCTGTCTCCTCCTTCTGCAAAGCTAGTTCAAATTATGATGTCTCATATTAAGCGTAGTAAAAAGAAATCCATTATTTTCCCACTAGATGGCTTCAGTTATCTATATCCCGCGTTCTATAAGTCTGATCGTGTTACGCTAAATAGCATTACAAAGATAAGATTTCGTAGTTTTGACAGTTTTTTAATTGGTTGACTCAGTTTTGTTTGAGAGCGTGTCAAAAATTCTCTTTGATAAAGGCATAAAGGCGAAAAGGAAAACCAGGCTGTTAAAAATGTGAATAATGTTTATGGTCCTATAGTCCTAATACTGTAACAGGTAATCATACGCTACCGTCGATTCCGTTCCGGTAATTTCGATGTCACAGATACACCACTGGAAGGCCAATTTTTGAAGATATCAATAAAATCATAGAAATTATGGATTCCAACCGTTATTTAAGCACTTTTCTGATTGCCAAAGTTTGCGCAAGAAACCGTTTGAAACCATTTGAATAAGGCTGGATATAAGAAAAAGCTTCATATATGCGTGCCACATGAGTTAATGCAAAAAAAACTAATGAACCGTAGTTTCATCTGCAAATTGCTGATATATCAGTATAGATCAGAATAGTTGTTAATCAGTAATAATTTGATATGAATTACTTTGTACTCTACCTCTACATAAATAGAATATAATTATAATGCTAGTTAAAGTTCCAAAATGAAAAGGGACTTAGAAGAAGTGGATTAAAAATATATCTAATTATTATATTAATGATTTATTAATATCTAAGAATATTTATTAATATACATATAAATATATATATATATACATATTCATTTTCGATACGGCTAGACAAATAAAATTTAATAAAAAGGTTATCCAAGTTTCCAAAAGAGAAAGTCAGTTAGAGAAAGTGGATTAAGAATTTATTTAATTACATTAATGATTTCATTATATCTAAGGAGGACAATGTTTAATCATTCATTATTATATAATAATAACTTTGTATATATATAAGTTTTTCAATACCTTTAAGGGACATAAGGATCGTAACAAACACATTTTTTGGACACTGTCCAAAAATTACTTAAAAATGTCCAAAAACCACATAATTAACTTTAGCTCAGTTCATTCCTTAATGTTACTTATACGTGTGTTACATGGACGCTTACGTCTTCTTCTGGTTTTCTGTAGAAAAAGTTTTAGATTAGATGTAAAAAAGTTCAGTGTGGTTTTAATAAAAACTTTCTAACAATACTAACTTTTATAAACTAATTGTTTATAATTCGCCTTGATTATTTGAACTTTTAATTACAAAAGAGTTCCATAATTTTAGAAAATATTTTATTTTTTATTCGAAATATCCTTCTCATTTTTTTTTTAATAAGTAAAAAAACAAATTTTATCATTTTGAAATTTATTTTCACATGAAAACAGAAATTTCCACATTGAAACGAAAAGAATTTTAACTTTATCTCAAAGAAAATTGAATAAAATTTTATTCCATTGCAGCAGAAGAACTAATAAAAGAATTTTTGGTTTCTATTTTTCAGTCTCTCCTTCAACCTGTGCAAGTACAAAACTTAGTATTTTATCCTGGACAAGAGTATGGCATCTATGAACGCCCAAATCAGCATGTCAGCAACAGTCACAACAGCAACAACAACAACAATAATAATGCACAACAAAATGCAGCAATAATAACTACTGGAGCTGATAGCAATGCACAACAAGGCATGTCATTCTTCAATTTCCGCCCCATAATCGACAGCATCTTTGAGGTAAATTTCAGATTAAAGTTACTTTACTTTCTCCTTCGAAAATTCAAGTACAGTTTGCTTGTATGCAGGCAAGATAAAGAAAAAAAATTCTTTTCCATTGAGATTGACCGAATTTCCAGTCGGATGGATTTATCTAAAAATGTACTTATGTTTCTCTAATTCTGTTTAAAAAAAGTTGATAAGTTTTACGAAAATCAAGACAGAAAAATGGATTTATGTGAAGTTTTATGTCAAAATTCTTGCTTCAACGCATAATTAGAATTCGAGAGATATTTAACTTTTACTTGTCTTTAAACTTAAAGAAATATTTTATAAAAGTAATATCCAAGTCAGTTGGCTAATTATTCCAACTAAATTGGAATATAGTTAGAATAGTTCGATTGAATTTTAATTTTTGGAAAAATGTTACCAAACAATTACGTTTCTCAATATTCGTTTCGAGTTTTTGATATGACCGATTTTAAAAGGTACTATTGTTCTCGACAAACAAGTCACACCTACTAAAATATTGATCTCTGAAATCTTCATCCATTCATAAAGATAAGTTGATGTCAGTCTTTAGTGATGACTTTGACTTGCAAATTGCGCAAATACCGGGAAACTAGTAAACTAGTCCGCTATGGTCCACTTACAATATAGAACGTGGTATCTCACCTATTCATAAGAGTTTTGCTGAAATGTACACTCTATGTCACCAAAATGTGTGCTTATTCACGGCTTAAGAACGTCCTTAAAAACTTTTAAGGAAAGTTTGACCAATTTGAATTTGACTACAAATCAATTGAGATATCCCGTACATACAGTCGACAACAAATAAAAATACAGAGATAAATTTTATTAAAATACTAGTAAAAAAAAAGTAAGTAAAGAAATAAAAGCACAACAGCACATTAGTTTAATTAGTTATTAATTGACACTGCTCCTATTTGAATAATAAGTTTTGTCCGTATATGACATTTTTTACTATCCCAGGACCAAGCAAAGGGAAAGTTTTTAAATTATTGATATAGTGCCTACAACATATAATCCCGATGCATTTAATGGTTAAGCTGATATAGATATCTGGTTATATGCACATTCCTGGCTTCTGTAAAGTTAAGTGACTTTAATTACAGAATATTTTAAAAGATGAAGATGGTACATATAATCCACTTATCTTACTACACATATGACATGATCAGCATATAACCCAAAGAAAAATAACAACAACTGTTAGGAGGTGTTTGCCCTTCATCGTTCAATACAATCATCGTACTAACATTCCACTATCTTATTGTTAAGCAAGCCAATCGATCACGTTCGGGTCAGATGAAGTCAGATGAGGAAGAAGAAAGTATTACGCATCTGCTCTGTTACTACCCGTCTCTCGACAAAAGAATCATATTAACTTTAGAGCCTCCATTTCTAAAATATCAATCCCATATCAGAAGCATAGACATTACAGACTGCTTACTTCATCAAAGTGACAGTCTGACAGTCATCACTTGGAAGAATTAGCGTGCTATTAAATATTAATATACATCATAGATCTATACATATATATATAAGTTAATGGTTATTTTTATTATTAGTTTCTAGCTCATAGTTATTATTAATTATTTTTTATTAATAGTTATTTATTTATTGATAGTAATTATTATTCATAACCACGTTTTATTATTTTATTATCACGTTTATTTCCTCAAATAATTTCAACAAAGATTTGTATGTGACATGCTTAGTAGCCCAAGTAAAAGTGGACGAGCGCACTTTTGTGGAGTTGAGAGCTACCGAAGCCAAATGGGATTTTTTCAGTCAAACAAGTTGATGTCCTGTTTGGCAGCAACCATGCATTCGAATAATATCGCATGATTACTCCGTTCATGAAACTAAGCACAGTGGCGGTTTCGGGAGACACGTGTGTTAACTTATATATATATTTCTATAGTTCCTGTCTTTATCTCCTGAGCTCCCAGTGAATCCACGCGTGGGTGAATGGGTGTCACTTGAGCTGCGTTTGACGCCTCCCGTATGTTATATTATATATATTTATATCATATATTAAATATATATATATATATAATATATAACATAGTTATTATAGTATTACAATGAAAACCCAATTCTCAATTATAAGTGAGAAATTTTCTTTTACATAATAGGACCTGTCATATAAACTTATATACTTATATATGTCATATATGTATACCTATAAATATATCTATCTACTTGCTTTTTAGCCTAAATAATTGACTTTATAATTCTGTAGAAGTAGTATAAATCTACAATTTAAGAAAAAGATTAAAAGTTTAATCTCGATAACTGCTTTAATCTGCTGTTAATCTGACAGTGTAAACGTAGTATAAGGGTTTATATTTAAGTTTATAGACACGGTAGTTAATCAATATGCAATGGTGGAAATCTTCAGTTTTTTGCGACAAATATAATAACTCAGTTATGAAGAGAGCATTTCAATAATTTTATTAATATATTTCTTTTATAAACTTTTGCTTTAAATGATTAAAACTACAGTTAAATAATATTAATTTTTTTTGGTAAAATTTGACCCATCTTATGGCGACAAGAAAACGAAAAGGGTTCAAACAGTATTGGAAAAAGAACAACAAAAATTTGATTAATTTATTGAAATCATATCACTGATGTTGAATACTTGGCAATACTCAAAACAGCGTTGTATTAGTCAACCAAATTTCAATAAATTAATCAATTTGTTTTTGTTGTTATCTCATTATAATTCGAACCCTTTTAAAATTAAATAATTTTAATCTTAAGAAACTGCTTATTCAGATTGATGTTGTCAATTACTACTTAGTTTTATAGACAAGTTTCTGTAATTATTTTGTAGTAAAAAAAGTCTTTCTTTCATTTCAGATTCCAATTTCAACATTACGCGCTGTCAATAATATGGTGGCACGTTTGACGGGCAGCTACCAAGAGTCACCATCAGGAAAATCTGCTGCAGGCCTTGACAAAGGATTTAGTAGTTCAATCGACAATAGTTTGATATTGGAAAATGGCGAAACGTCAAATGCGGAAACAAATACTAAAACGATCAGAAAGTCAATCTTGCGCGAGGAATTGGCGTAATCAGTGCCAACCGGAAGTGGCCAGAGAGAGCAGCTGATTATTCCTACTTGCAAATCCCACATTCTTTAATGTTTTTTTTTTTTCAAAAAGTTATTGGTTAGGATTTAATATTTCACAAATTTATTTTTAATATTTTTTTTCACTTTTTCACTTTTCATTTAAAACAAAATTTTATTTCAAAAATTATTTTGTTGTTCCTTAAAGAGAATTTCCTCAAACAACTTAAAGCACTT